ATTATTAATTATTAATAAGTTGACATTCATCTAGTTTGATTCCTAATATCTATGGACAATAAATAATCAAAATATGGTGTCATATTCCTTGTACAGTAGATACTGTGTTTTTCCTTTTCATTTTGTGAAGATTATCCAAAGTGTGTGTTAGAATTTCACTGGAGTAAAATAATCAGCCATAAAAGTTAGAAACAATACATTATAACCTTTCTATCACTTACACATTTTGCTGGCCAGCCTGAATACAAAACTTTTTTTTTTTTTTACTGTTCTTCACTTATGTTCAAATTTACTGTACATGAACTACTGTATGAAAAAAAATGATAAGGCACAGGAGGATTTCTGCAGGCTAATAACTGTTGAAGAGACAGTTTTGGAACAACACTATATGTTATTGTAACAGCAATTCAATCCATGATTTTTGATGTTTGCGTTGTAGTTAATGGCACAAGTTATTTGGCTGCTTTTGTATTTTTTTTTTTTAAACTTACCTTTAAACATGTATGTAGCTACAATAAAAATGCTCTGGCAAGGAGGAAACATCCATGAATCACTCTTGAAATAGTTCCAGGCAGCACATGAACATGAAAGCATCTGATAATAAACTTCTATTTGCTATTTTATTTACTATTATATTAATTTAGGCTAAAATATTAATAGAAGAGAAACAAGATTTGTGAAGATATTTGCAGACAGTTATGGCAAGACAAAAAATAAAAGTGCAAATCTATATCTGTCCTGTTCAGCAGAGTATTTCCCCAGACTGGGTTTTTCAGAACAGCACATATTGGAGCTTTCATCAGCTGGATAAAGGCTTAATTTCTATTGGCTAATATCAGTGGAGTGTGACAAATCAGGCATTTTTTTACAGGCAAATGTTATGGATTATAAATACATTTCAACACGTCTAATGAAAATGCAAAATACATGTTAGATATTCCTACTGGTGAAACAAGAGGCTGTGATGTCCGTCAGATGTTAGTCCACAGACTTCATGTGACAGACAAAATGGCTGCCATTGGGCTTTTATTTGCCTGTGACTGTGTGTGTATGCGTGCATACATTTCTGAGAAAAAGAAAACTGGCAAAGTGCATTAAAAGAAGATGACAAGTCATCTCTTTAACCTCGACTGCAGACATTCCCAGTTACACCCGGCATGTGCTATTGTATTGTACATATTTTCCTCCCTCTTTGATCTTGTTTTTTTCTCATCGGTTTCACGTCCTCTGTATTTTAAGACTGATTGTATGACAAACAAACAATGACTAAAATTCATGTCACATTTAAGAATATCTCAGGAAATGCAAGTATCTAATTACACATACATAGAGGAATGTGACATCAGTTAGCAAGAATGTGTCAAGGCCTCTCTGGGCTTTTATTCAGGCCTTACTGCCTCACTGTGAACCAAGGAAAACTTTAATTACAAAGCAACTGAGCCTATCAAAAGACATCACAGATCTGAATTACTGATTTGTATTTTCCATTTTAAAAAATCACCACATTCAGCTATATCAATAGACATATGATCGTGCATTTTGAATTCCTTTAGTGTTTTTTTATATACTTTGGAAATTTCACACACACCTTTAACTACAAAAGTCAGACTACAATTTGTTCATATTAGAAATGTTTGTGACTCTTGTCATCACAGCTATTCATGTTATTAGTTTTAGCAATATAGTAATTTTTTAAAAATTCCTCATATTACCACAAAATATTTCGAATGTTTCAGTCCTTTATTGGTTGTGTTCATCAGAAAAGGTTCTTTCTTCCCACGCATCTTTCTTTTTAAAAAGTTTTAAAGGCTAAAATAAGTTGGTTTACTGTTCGAGTGTTTTGCTCTGAGTCCACATTAGCTTGTTTTGTGCTCATATCTGTGTGTGTGTGTGTTATCCACCTAGTTACCTGGGTCTGCGTCAGGCCCAGTTTGGCTGCCAGGTCGGCCCTCTCGGGCAGGGCGAGGTACTGGGTTTGCTGAAACCGTTGGTTGAGTGCCTGGAGCTGCAGGCTGGAGTAAATGGTCCGAGGCTTTCTGATCTTCTTTCCCTTCCCATTCAGCCTCACCTCCCCGTTCTCTATCACCGCTGTGGGCTTCTCGTGCTCTGGAGAAGAGGAGGGAGAAGATTAATATCAGCAGGGGGATTTCAGTGGGGACAGAAGTTTGGCCTTAGTGTTACTGTAGAGACAAAAACTCCCAAACATTTCAACTGCTAACAAGACACTAAAGGTCTTTGTGCTCACAAAATGAATAAAAGATATAGCTCACATCTGCACTCCTGCTTTTGTTTGTTTTCAATAGACAGTTTTTGACATTACTTCTGTGAAAGCTCCTTAGCTTGTACACGTGGGTGTTTTTGTAGCTTTGATTGCTTTTGATTTCTAACTAAAGTGATATGTGAGTCATAGTTTAAAAGGACCAGTAGACGAAAACGTTAAAACCACTATTATGGCAGCAGGTCTGTTTTTATACAACACACATGTGGCCTCTATTACAGTGTGAGCACAAATGTAACAAAAATGAAACCTATATATCAGAAACAAATATATATGACTTTCAGTCTGATCTCATGGGAGCACGGCACGGTGGAGCAGTGGTGCTGTCGCCTTACAGCAAGAAGGCTTAGGGTTCGATTCTTGGCCAAGCTGGTGCCTTTCTGTGCGGAGTTTGCATGTTCTCCCTGTGTTGATTGGTGACTTTCCCATAGGACTGAATGTGGATGTGTGTGGTTGTCTGTCTTTAAGTGTCAGCCCTGTCATAGACTGGAACCTGTCCAGGGTATACCCTGCTTCTTACCCAGTGTCAGCCAGGATTGGCTTGTATATGACATGTTTATATTAAATCTACTGGAAAAAGAACATATAAGACAATGGGTGCAGGTAAAATAATAAATCCTCTTTGTCCCCTCCAAACCAGTTTGGTTTACAGTAATTCAGTCATACATGCAACAAGAAAGCGATACAGCTGTGTATGCTCGTCCACACTGATCTTTGTTATGACATGAGCTCATAGCCTGCAGTGGCAGGACAGAACAGCTGTGGACAACTCAAGGCCCCACAAGATGTTCAGACTCTGTAACAGAGCTGCAGCTCATGAAAGAGGGGGAGACAGCATCACAGCGGTGGAGAAGGCGTGGAAGAGAGAAAAACAAAGGTCACCGTGAAGAAATTTGACAGAAGTTTGACATGCGTTGTAATGGCCACAGACATAAAGAAATGCTCAGTGTGTTGTCCCAGAGAACGAATGTTCAGAGAAGTTTAACTCCCTTCTAGGCTTCTTCTGAACAAACTGTTAGAAAGCTCCAATAACGGATACCCAAAGAGACTGATTTGGTGCTGTGCAGGAAGGGCAGTCAGTGTGTGTCACTATTAAAGAGTGTGATGTCATCAGTTCAAAATCTCATAAGATTAGAAACGCTGGCAAGTTATAATGGCAGGAAAACAATGTTAAGTGTGTTTCTTGAGTTGGAGTACACATAGACTTTCAATGAAAAACGCACAAGCAAGTTGGGATAAAATCACTTTACATGTGAAGGCATAGCGTCCTAGTCCTGTTTCATTTTGTATAAAGGGGGAAATAATATGCTTATATTTCTATATTGTATTTTGGGTTCCTAGAGGCTTTCATTTTTTGTTAGAAGGGTTAAATGAAAATTTGAATTTACAGTTGAGATTACAGTTGTTCTGTGCATGTGGTTAAAAACCATTTGAAAGGCACCAAAGTGACAAAAATGAGTATACAGTAAAAAGTAGTAAAAAATAAATAAATAAATGAGAATGAATCTGGGCTTCATGGGTTCAAAAGAGCAATGGGGTCTCCAGGACCGCAAACAAATGTTAGCCTATTATAATTGCTATTATTGTTATTATTAATATTATCATTCTTATTATTAGTAGTATTAGTATTAGTAGTATATGATCAAACTCTACATCTGTAAGTGATTAATGAAATATGATTGTTGGCAAACAGTCACTTCAGTCTGCAGTAAAATACCCCGTGAAGACTACTCTTCATTAAATAGCTGAGCAATGAAGGATCACATACATTTAGCATCTTTTAATTTAGTTTTGGTCAATGTAAAATGCATTTCTACTCACTTCAATACTCCGCCATCATATCATTAGGCTATAGTGGAGAATTTTGTGATTAATATCTACCTTTATTGTTTTTTATAACAATTTTAAACATAAACTCAAACATAACAGCTACTGTACTGTATGCAGTGAATATTTCAAACTAAATAGACAAATTTGAATTTACATAAAGTCATCAATATTCCTGAGTCAGTCACAAACATGACAATCAAAAAGTTTGATGTGTTTTATTTTGAGCCGAAGTAATTATCTGTCTTTTCACAAAGGTCAGGATCACTGTGAGAAAAGTTTAAATATGTAACAGCCCAAAATATTTTGGTTCAATTAGCATTCACCTTGTATACGGGAACTTATTATTATTATTATTATTATTATTATTATTATTATTATTATTATTATTATTACCAGGACCGATGTCGGCTGCTTCATGTGGAGAGTCACACAAACTCTGCAGAGCCCAAAGTACACCATCCACACCCTGTGGCAGACCTGTGTGTGGATCCAGTTACTACAGCTCCTCCACTGTGGTTTGCTTTTCAAAACAACAAACACCACCTTTTCTCTTAGATTTTCCTTCAGTTATTTTGTTGCTATTGTTGCATTTAATGTCCTCTGTGACGGCACTGTGAATATCGTTTAATCTTGTGTTGTCACAGTGTTCCTTTTCCAAAACACACACAGAGAAACATTAGTAATATACGTATGTCAGCACGGGTGAGCCCAGTAAATACCAAATATCCGTGAGACAATTAAACTTCAGGCTCAGACCGGACAAGAGCTGCCTTTTACTTTTCTTAGACATTCAACAAATGTTAATGTGACTGTTGGGCCCATGTGCTCTACCACATGGCAGGTCATTATATTTTGGGCCGCACTGTAAACAAGGACACACTGCAAAGAAAGGTACGAACATGAATGTTGATTTTGTGAAAACATACCCGCATCGTCCAGTCTGGTGTGCCCAAGCGCGCCGCCGTGACCCCCGTGCTGGTAGGGCAGGTAGGCACCGGGGTGGTGCGCGCTCACGGGGTTGTGGTAGGACGGGTATCCCAAAGGGCGACCATATGAGGATGCGCTAGAGGAGAAGGGCCCATCGTGCTGCGAAGGCCCGACGGCGTGAAGACCATGGACCGGGTAGTGATTGTGGGACAAGCCGGGGGAGTGCTGCTGGTGTCCGGGGTAGCCGTGGCCGCCGAACTCCAAAAACGCCGATTTGGACGGATCAGGCGGGACTAAAGTGTCCGATATAGAGCTCATAGTCATCATTAGGGTGATGGGCAGTGGTGTGGTGGGAATTAAGAAGGGTCAGCTATGACCTCCGGACCAGGACCATCATAAAGCAACGCACCATTAATATTAAAAACGTCTGCGGTCTTTCACAGAAGTGTTTCAGTTTCCATAAACGCCAGCCTTACAGAGTTGACTTTATGTTCGATAAACGTCGCCGTGGTCTAATGAAAAGGCGGGAGTGAAGCGGGTTTAGGTGTTTCTGTTCTCCGCTACATCCCAGCTGAAGGATCCAGACGGCTGAGTGTTTAAAACCATGTCCAACAGAAGCAGACAAGACGCATGACAAGCCAACGTGAAGCCAAGATAAGACTCGGCGAAAGAAAAAACAAACTAACTAACTAACTAAAAAACCCGGAACTCCTGACAAAGAGGCCAAAAAATATATTCAGTATCCTTTACACTGGAATCTTTCCTTCTTCTGCGGTTCCAGAAACAACCTGTGCGGTGCTTCTTTTCTCCCGAGTTGTAAAGAGGTTCTGGGCACCAGAGAGCACAGAACGTGTTCCTCCTCTCCAGAGCGCGCTGTGCGTCTTCAAAGACCATTCTCTGTTTCCACTTGGCGCACGCAGCGCGCTCATTGGCTGCGGCGCTTCATCGTGTCACACAAATCACAATCAACAGCAGTGGCGGATCGGCTCTTCTCGGTTTTTGGTCGAGAATAGGCCCCAAGAGCCACTTTCAGAACATGCCCCAGGTGAAGAGCGGCTTGAGCCATTAAAATATAATTCCGCACGTGTAAAATTGTGAAGCTCAAATTTGTTTTTTATTCAAGAGGTGAATTGTCCAAACAGAATACAAATCCGGCCCCAGTTAATTCACACTAAATAGGCCAACTAACTCACTAAATATATAAATAACCCAGGCTACAGGACGATAAAATCAACAGCTGGAATATATTTATTAGACTGTTTGTTATTTTTATAAATTATCATTAGGTTACCGGTCATTTTACACACCAGGAAGTGTATGCGGGCTTGTGGCCTTTAAGATGCCATAATCGTTTCTCATGTAAATGATTTTTTTACAGTCATGCGTCATTAAAAAGACAGCAGGCTACAAGAGCACATTTTAGAATAAATCCATCTAGGCTGTGCAAAAAAGGGGATAACGGCAGCTTGGCTCCTGAATGAAGAACCTTTCCAAAATGAAATTCTTCTTGCGTGTCCAACGCAAAATAAAGCAGATGCAGATCAAATGAACCTCACGAGCTGCTGTTGAAAGGCCGAACGCCCAAATACACACACTTTCTCTGTTTCTCATTCATTTATCTGTCTGTTTATCATTTTGGCTCAAAATGAAGTTGAAGCGATACAACTTTTTCCTGTAAACCAAATTCAGATCAAGCCAAGGTGACGCCAACACAGTGAGCACCCCGCCTATGGCCCTGCTCAGGGGACAATTACAACATCAGCCTTCTGGAGAAACTCAGAACTTGTGATTTTGGCAGAGGAGAGGTTCGGACACTGTAATCTAGCTCAGCTCACGGTCATTATGCTCAGCGGCGGTAGAAATCCCGAATTGTGGGCCTTTCAAATTAAAACGACGAACTCTCAGCGTTACAAAATAATGCAGGATCGAGTCAGTTCAGATAAGTCGATACGGATGTGTTAATCAATTTTGATTTACAAAATGTTGGCCCATGATCACAAGATGCAGTCTTTTAAAGACAGCGAGGCGGATTGGGGTTGTGGAAAGTAGTTAAGCAGCCTAACTATAATTCCAGTACATGCACTTTATTTGGCTACTTTATATTTCCTCTTCACTACATGCCAGAGGGAAATATTGTATTTGTTACTCCACTCCATCTGACTGACAGCTGAACTGTTTTCTTTTCAGATGAAGATTTGACCTAAAAACACAAGCTCATATGCATTTTTCTGTATTATACCAGAAGCATCCGTCTTGTTTGGGCCCCTTATGTTTCAGAGCTCTTTTAATTGTGGGTGGCTCCACCAAAACAGGTATAACTGTCCTATATTTAACAAAATAGCAATAATACAAATGCTCATTTTTCTTTAGTCACCCCCCGACCCCTCAGATTTATCTTTTGACCTTCAGAGGAGGACTGACCCCTGTGGGGAAACAACTGGACTAAAGGACTAATTGGTCAAAATGGTAACACTTCATTTTAAATTTTCCTGTTTGCCATTTATAAGTGGTATCAAAATTCTAAACTGTTTGCTACCCACTATAATGCATTAGTACTGTAAACAGATAGGTGTCTGGTCATGATTTTGTCGACTATAAAACTAGAATAAAATGGAGGCTGGAGTAGAAACATAATGAATGACAATATAGAAAAACATAAAATACTGTCTTCAGTATTTCAGTGTCTTTAGAAGTGTAAAACACCGTCTTTAGCTGCTTACAGCTTATACACCTTCTTTTCCATATTTGTATGCTGTTTATAAATTATAAATAAGGGCACAGAAAGTGAATCATTACCACTTCGACAACACTAATATGTTGCTGATACACTGATGCATCATTATAAACTATCAAATCATGTCACATTCAGTAATAAAATATGAGTCACTGGGGACATTTTCTGTCATATTGTCTATTGTACTTCAAGTACATTTCCAGGATAATACTTCTACTTGAGTAAAAGGTTGAATACAGGACCTTTACTTGTGATGAAGCACAGGCTACACAGCCAGAAATGGCCTTGAGGCCTCTTTCAAGTCACTAATCTGAGTTTTGATAGGAATCTCTGAAGACTCTGCTGTCACTCTGGCCTGCCCACACACACACACACACACACACACACACACACACACAAAGATAAGATTTAGTTTTCTGATATGCTAATATTTCTATTTTTAAGACAGTTGCACCACTAAAGTTCATGAAATTGAATGTGCAGTGTGAATAAATCAATAAAGGTTAATACCACTTGCTCCCATAAAAATTAAGGTGAGCAGCTTTGTCGGCATAATGTTTGTCGTGCCTACTGGAAAAAATAATAATTTGAAGCTACTGTACACAAAAAGAAACAGACAAAAGGAGGAGCACAGACACACACACACACCCTTAACGCAGTCAGAGATGTTTCGGCATGTTTCTTCCTCGTTTTAATTTCTTCTGCCTTTAGGATCCGGCTTATTATACTAACAGGCTGATGTGTGGAGAGTTATTATCCATCCCAGCCTGCACTTCTGCTTTTATCTGCAGCCAACATTCCTCCCCTCCCTGACTTCACCTCTGTGAGAGCTGGTCACACCCTCCTCAGTGTCAGTGCTGCTATTTAGCAGCACAGTCTTGGTAAATTGACAAATATTCTGTTTTTTTTTTCTACACAGGCAGGCAGGTGAAGCAGTTACTTGGAAGTGCCCATAAAGAGGTGCACAATGAGAGCAAGTTATCTCTCTAATTGTGCAAGTCTGAATCTTGCAAACTGTCCTCCTGTAAAAAGCGACTCTGTATATAGTTTATACCATTAGGACATTACAACCAACAGACATAATATATAGAGCCAGAAAAGCCACAGTAGTAGGTAAAGCACAAGTGAACAGGGTTCGGTTCCTGTGTGTGATGTGTGTTTTTTGACCAAGTAGAGATGCTCCTAAGGGTCGTATGAGAGATGGGACAACAACCTGTATTCGGGATGTTGATGGCATAGGTGGTTGGACTACAATATAGGAGGTGCTAAAGATAAACATTTATAATTCTTAAATCATTTCTAAATGAACGCAGTTGACACAAATATGGACAAACTTTAATTTGTGGCTCTGTCTGTTGGTTGTAATGTCTGGTTGTATGCTCCGAAGCTGCCACATTTCTAATCTAAATGAATCAACGCTATATATTAACACCCCTGATTCAACAAGTCATACAGGCTAATGACTCCGCACAAGCCAGCACAGTGATTTGTTGGCTTGCATTGCAGGGAGGCAATTTGTCATCTGGTGTCAATGGAAGATGAGTTACAGTCCAACCACAAGAGATGGAGTGCATATGCAGGAGCTTGTGAGAGCATATGTAGGTCAAGTTCACACCTTTAGGGAGAAAGAAAGAAATGATGGGGGGAGAACTGAGGCAGATAAGATCAGAACATTTGTATTAGTTGTCAAAAATCCCATAAAAATAATAAATAACAATGATAAATCCTACTAACACATGATAATACTAATCACATCATCTGAGTCCTCATTTTATAAATCATACAATTTAAATGAAGAACCTAAATGGGATAATAATATACAGTAAAGCAAGGCAAGTTTATGTATAGAGCACATTTCATACACAAAGGCAATTGAAAGTGCTTAACACAATGCACACAAATAGATACAACATGAACATGCATATAAAGATAAAACATTACAATGTAAATTAGATTAAAACATTCAATGCAAATTAAAAGCAACAATTACATGACAGTATAAAGTAGCAACATTGAAAATGTTAAAAGTATTAGATGCCTAATACTTTTAGTATAGGATAAGGATAATCACTTTTATTGGCCAAGTATGTTACACACAAGTAATTTAGCCATCTGTGGCGCCACCTCAGCCGTCGGCTCTAACCATCGGGGGCAATGGGGGGGTTCAGTGTCTTGCCCAAGGACACTTCAACACATGGACTGGAGGCACTGGCTGTGGCAGACTGGGGATTGTAACTGTTCTCATTATACTATGTATTTTGTTCTTTGTTTACATGTGATAGACCGGCGACCTGTCCAGGGTGTACCCCGGCTCTCGCCCAATGTCCGCTGGGATTGGCTCCAGCCCCCACCAGGGCCCTATTCAGGAATAAGTGGTATAGATCATGGGTAGATGGATGTCCTCATTTAATCTATCTGATCTAGTATTCCATTTCTGGGTGCAAAACCTTGGTTCATTCTCCTCAGTTCAATATGCTGCAGTGTTGTGTTCCCCATTGTTTCAAACAGATCTGAATCAAACGTCCTGGTCAGATGTCATTTTAACACTTTCTTTGTGATGAGATGGAGAAAATGAAATGGCTACAGTTGGTTAGGCAAGTCACAGTATTCTTAAATTAATACTCAATTTAATTCTTACATAAACAATATTAAATTAATGAAGTAAAACCTCTGAAGGTGTGGTGTTTTGATGCCTCGTGATGTGGCTAGCCAGTTAGTATGAAGTTAACGTAAACGCTATGCATAGATACATATACTGATCAAAGTAGGTTGCTGTTTTTCAGGTAATTTAATTTTTCTGATGGCTGTCTGGGACTCCGAGTATAGAAGCAGCTGCCTGATGGAAAAAGAAACAGGCTGGCACCAAGAATTTGCCCAGCACAGCGAGTGCGTGTAAACTCAGTGACATACATCTGACACACACTGTGTCACTGACAGTGACACATCACAAACCAGACTCACCAATATATTAGCACGTGAAAGACAGGTGTGCCTGTATGTGTACCTCTGTTACCCTCTGAGGTGAGGTAAGGTGAGGAGTAAGGCAGGCCTGCCTGCCTGCTTGTGCGCCTTCTTATTTAAGACTGTAATTATGGCGTGACATTAAGG